GCCATTCACTCAGAGTCTCAGGGCAGTTTACAAACTCCTTTCCCTTCCCCTCCCCACAACAGACACCCTGTGAGGTAGGGGGGCTGAGAGAGCTCTGACAGAAAATGCTCTTTTCCAGAACACCTCTGACAGAACTATGGCTTGCCCAAGGTCATCCAGCAGGTGCAAGTGGAGGAGTGGGGAATCAAACCCGGTTCTCCCAGATTAGAGTCCGCACACTTAACCACAACACCAAACTGGCTCTCCAGTTTGTTTTTATTATTTATTTATTTATTTTATTAAAACCGCTCTAGATCCAGGGGTGGGATCAAGTCAAGATGGCCTGGCTGGTGTGGCTTTGCTTGCTGCACTGTGCCTTGTTGGTGGGGTGTGAGGCGGCAGCCCATCGGTTTTGCAGAGGAACAGAAGGCTGCTCCAAAGTGTGGCATCGAGAAGTCCCCCTTGGTGAGAGTCAGTCACTCATTCTCCCACTTGATGCAACACAGCAGAAACTGGTGCTTCGATGTGACCCGCAGACAGGAGCATGGGAAGAACTACGTCTGGCTCATTCTGAAAATTCTTATCCTGTCTCACCTGATGAGAAAGGGATTTCTCTGGTCAACCAAAATTTCACTGTGAGGAATGCAGACCGGATAAATGAAGGCCTCTATAAGATTACATCTCTCCTTCGTGACGATGGAACATGTTTGGCTCTAGTAAACATAACTGTGATGGATCATCCTTTATTTGTAACTGCAGTACCTTGAGCTACCATGTTCTTACCTGATACATCCCATGCGTCTCCTCCTGGCGCAACCGAGGCCTCTCCTGGATCAAATAATATCATAATATTTCTTCTAGTTTTCGTTCCTGTGGGCATCATTTTGATTGCTGTTCTTGTACGAATGTGCATTAAGAGGAAATCTAATGAATCTTTTCGGCCTACCTCAGCATTGGAGAATGGGCTATGTATGGATGGATTACTACCTTGTCAGCAACAAGGGAATGAGCAGTGTGTGGATAAATTACTACCTCATCAGTAACAAGGGAGCACCGTGGTCTAATGATGGAACTTAAACATATTTGTGTTTGCCCTTTGCAGGTTACTGTCTGGCCCTGAGATTCTCATGAAGAAGCTGGACTGTATTCCTCTGAAGGGATTTTGAACTATGTGATATGTATATTGATTATTTATGGTACAAAGAACATTTTCTACATGCTGTTTGTAGTGAAGCCAGTTTCCCACACTCTGTCACAGTCTGGCATAGCTGAAGCGTGTTCTATGCGTAGTTGCCCATCTTAGGTGAGAACATCTAGCTAAGCAGGATGGTCATGTGAGTCCAAGGCATGGTGACTGCCTCCTTAAGAAAGGGAGAAGTCCCAGCCGCTTTGAAGTCAGTTGTTGGGAGACCACTCCAGAAGAAACCCCCATGGATCCAGATGATCTCTCCAACACTTGCCTACCGCAAAATCTCCACCTTCCCTTTTAGGCAAGGAGCTCTAAATACTAGTGGATGACATTATCGAGGAAGCATCCCTAAGCAAGTTTAATCAGAAGAAAGCCCTGTTTTATTTAGTGGGGCTTACTCCCAGGGAGATGTTCTTAGGATTGCCCCCCTAGACACCTTTCAGTCTGGCTTCCAGCCTGGTTTGAAGATGGAAACGGCTTTAGTTGCTCTTTTGGAGGAGATCTTTTGCCAGGACAGGTGTGACCCTACCCCCCCCACTCCAAACTTCTCAGTAACTTTCAGTACCAAGGCGGATGTCTGGTTGAGATGATACGTGATTTAAAGTGAGATACTAGCAGCATGCGAATGATACCCAGCTGTAGTTCTGCCTTTCATTTGGTCCACAGTCATCCATGCTCTTATAAAACCCAGGCTTGGTTATTGCCAAAGGTTGAAGCTAGAGCTGTCTTTCAAAACAGTTCAGTCACTTCAGCCGGTTCATATCAAGGCAGCTAAATTACTTAAAGACTTGAGAATATTTCTCCAGCTCTGAAAGATACACACCACATGTACTGTGTCAGTATATTTTTGGCAGGATTAGAGTTAGTGTTTTTGGCCTTTTTAATCCCTAGAAACCTTAGGGCCAGGGTATTTGAAGGACCAGCCCCTCCCATGCCAAAGGAGCTTCTGTTTTCAGTGATTAGTGGGGAGGGGTGCAGCTGGAATGAGGGCATCTTACACTGTGAAATACCTGCAATGAAATGTGCAATAAAAGTGTGATATTTATCTTTAACTTTGTGTAACCCCAGTTTCTCCCACCAACCTCAGTTTAAGGAGGAAATAATGGAACCTGGGTTTGTTAATGAAGGGGGGGGGGAGGTGACCAAAAAAAGAAGTAGCGGCGCCTCCAGCCAACTGACATCTACTTGCTCACTGGAGGGATGGCCAGTAGGCAAAGAGAAGAAGAGATTGGATTTATACCCCGCCCTTCACTCAGAGTCTCAGAGCGGTTTACAAACTCCTTTCTTTTCCCCTCCACGCAACAGACACCCTGTGAGGTAGGTGGGGCTGAGAGAGCTCTCCCAAGAACTGCCCTTGCAAGAACAGCTCCTATGGAACTGTGGCTTGCCCTAGGAAAAATTCAAGCTGGGCCAGCAGTCGGCATGGAGCATTTACCAACGGAGATGTGTGTGGGGGAACCCCGTTAATCGATATTAACACACCAACACCCTGCAATTGTGTTTATTCAGGCCAGTTGAAGATGACAACGTGTACTTATTTGTACCGAAAGATTTTAACGCTGTGGTTGTAACAGTCGGCCACCGCCACCAGCCCATGTTCCATCACCGAGATTCCGCTGGGCCCTTGCAGACCGTGGGTGGCCACAACAGCACAGAGAGAGGAGTCAGGATTAAACATCACAATGCAGTTTTGGGCTTCGTCAGAGACCAAGACATTCCCGTGATTGTCCACGCAGACTCCAGAAGGGTTTTCAAATGTGAATTTGTTCCCGTACTGGGGCCCTATTGTCTTTGACACGCTTCGTTGCCTGTCGATAACTTTGATGCAGCAGCCCTGGAATCTCCCAAACAGCTGTCCTTCTGTAACTAACATCTCTTCTTCCTGGGGGAGAGGGAAGAACAATAATTAAAGACAGATAGTATTGTTTTGCCCTGCCCTGGATAGCCCAGTCTCATCAGATATCGGAAGCTAAGCAGGGGCAGCTTAGCCCTGGCTAGAATTTGGATGGGAGACCTCCAAGAAATACCAGGGTCACGACGCGGAGATAGGCCACCTCTGAACGTCTCTTGCCTTGAAAACCCCACGGGGTCACCATAAGTCAGCACTTTCCATGACCAATATTGTTTTACTTAATAGCTGATCTTGCAAATCCTACTAAAGTCACCCTATAGTCATTTATTTGGTGTGTTTTCATTGTGCTAGAGGGAAATCACTCAAGGGGAAGAGTAAAGAAGGGGAGAAGGTGACCGGTACAAGGTCACTTTTTCTCTGTACCTGGGGTTTC